GATGTATCACAGCACCTCGTTCGTCTAGACATCCGAATGCCCCAAGCCAGGATCGAAACAAAACCCATTTTCTGTCAATCAGAGCTTCTACCACTGTACTATCTTCATTCGGCAGAGTGAAACAGGTAAATCTAGCATTTGCTTTTACGATTATATATATATATATATATATATATATATATATATATATATATAATCATATTGCATATTCTTCTTTGATTTTCTGACGAATCTCTAAATATATTACAGGAGCATTAGAGCGGATGTATTCAAAGCACAAAGCCATAAAACATTGTATATTGTGATCCTGAAAAAGGTAGAATTTCATTACTAATTTTAGTTTTTATATCAGAATGACAAGTGTAAACCAGAATTGTATAACGTCTGGCAATACATGAACGTTCCCAGCAGAGGCCCGTGACGAAAAGTGGGGGTTACATGGTACACAGATAAAGATGATGAAACAGTGTATATAGTCCTCGTAATTTAGTTGATGTCAAAACCATCAGAAATTGATATTCCAAGATCATGAGTGCGATAGTTTTTCAACATCCAGATTGGAAGGAACTGTGCGAAAAGTAGAATTGTAATTTCCAATGTATTATTGTCATCCACCTGGAGGAGTAGCGCTTGCCAGAGACGTCTGCTGTATGGAGAGCTCCTGTACGGTGTAAGAAACCAAGGCCGTCCAAGAAAGCGGCACAAAGACACTGAGAAATGAAATCTCCGGGCATAAAAGCTCAAAACCAAAGAACTGGAGGAGTACGCCAATGATCGATCAAGACGTCGAACCACAATCTATGATGTTTGCTGTCACATTCGACGATGCTCGACGCCGGAAGCTCACCGCTGCTCGAGATTAACACCACAGGGCAACGTCAGTAGTGATTGCGACAACGGACTTTCAGTGTCCCCACTGTTCTAGACAGTGTACCTCCAGCCTGGGGTTGCGGTGCCAAATCCGATTTGCAAATGAGATGCAGAAACGATACGTCATCTTCAGATTCGAAGGACAGCCGATAATTCAAAATAAAAAAAAGCTTAATGAAAATGGACCAATGATTAATCATAAAGTCATTAAAATTTTAAAAATGGAGTTTCTTTCCACACACACACACACACACACACACACACACACACACACACACATATATATATATATATATATATATATATATATATATATATATATATATATAAGTGTGAACATCAAGTCAACACTTAGAGGCGACAGGCTGTTTCATGCTAGACGCAATCGGCAGCCCTGAAACAGCCTGTCGCCTCTAAGTGTTGACTTCAATGTTCACTTTGATATTTACACACGAGCTATCTTTGAGCTATTTTTCTCATAAATTGAGCACTTTTATCTTTCTTCATAAATATATATATATATATATATATATATATATATTATATATATATATATATATATATGTGTATATATATATATATATATATATATATATATATGTATGTATATGTATGTATGTTTGTGTACGTATCTGTATACAAACATAGGGTAGGGTCATATAGCGAGATCAGGACAGCTTGTAATAGATAGATAGATAGATAGATAGATAGATAGTCTTACCCAAAGTGCGTCAGTGATAGGAAGCAGAAAGAATAGGTTTGAATTTAACTATCAAGTCAGCAATAAAAAAAGAAAACATTTAAGATCAGGATGGAGTAAGTGGGGTCTTAGGGCCATTTTGTAAGGCTGAATGTGTAATAGTTGTAGCCAAATAAGGTGCGCCTTCGTTCGACCAGATCTGATGGGGGAAATCAAGGGTGGGAAATTCGGTTCAAATTGGATGGAAGTGAAAAATAAAACCGTGAATGAAGTATAAGGGGAAGAAAAAAGAGAAACATGGGAAAAGAAAATTAACAGAACAATTGTCAGCCATTTGGCAGCAGGAAGAAAAAAAAGTGAAATTTAAAGAATTAAATAAAAGAAAAATGAAATGGGAGGCAAAGTAAAGAGAGTTAGAGAGAAGGTAAAATTAGGGAAAGAAGATTGGAGAGGAAGAAGTAGTAATGAAGATAAGGAGTTTAATAAAAGAGGAAAGAGGCGGGCAAAGAAAAGGGAAGAGATGTTCAGGAGGTGAAGGAAGAGGTAATCATTATAAAGTAGAGAGTAGGATAGAAATAATGAAGGTAAGTAAGAATGAAATCTAAAAAGAGTTATCAAATATAAACGATAGATTTATTAAAAAGAGACTAGAAGAAAAAGAAGATAAAAAAGAAGCGAATATGCAAGTAATTGAGAAGTGGAAACACGAAAATAACAAAATGAAGACGAAGACGAAGAGATGAAAGAGGAAAGAAACGAATATGCATCAAGATTAGAAAAGGAAATGGAAGGGAAAGAGAATAAACAAAAGAAGAATAAAAGCAGAAACGAGAAGTAGAAAGAATGAAGAAGAAGCAAATATGCACAAAATTGAAAGATGGGCACAAGCGAATTTACGAAAGAGAAGAAAAAGAATAAAGAAGAAGAAGAAGAAGAAGAAGAAGAAGAAGAAGAAAAAAAAAGAAGAAGAAGAAAAAAGAAAAAGAAAAAGAAGAAGAAGAAAAAAGAAGAAGAGGGAGAAGAAGAAGAAGAAAGTAAATATAAATGACAGAGGGACAAATGATTATGTATAAAAGTTAGAGAAGGAAACGAAGTGGAATAGAATAAAAGAAGAAATGAAAAAGTGTAACGAATATGCACATGCATATCAAAGAAGAGGATACTATACAATGATGAAGACAAAGATGATGAAGAAGAAGAAGGGGTAAAAAAGAAGATGAAAAGAAACGGCAAAGAATTTAGTATGCAAAGAAGATTTGAAGAAAATGGTAGTAGAATACAATTTACAAAGAAGATGAAAAAGAAGAAATGGTGGACGCGAACAGAGAGGAAAAAGATAATCAGAAAAGAAATAATATTTTTTCTACTGGAAAGGTGGAGAATGGGAAAAGCAGAAAGCAAAGAATACGAATGATAAAGAAGTAATCAAATTGAAAGAAAGAGACAAAAGAAGTTGAAATGATTTTGTTTAAATCATTTACCGAAAATATTTCAAATATAAAATATATATCAGAATGAAATGATGGACGAAAAGGGAATTTAGATGTGAGAAAAGGATGAGATTGAAAAGAAGGAAGAAAAAAAATACATCGAAACGTACTTCAAGCTTTTCAGAGAGACTTCAGAAGTAAATGCACCAGAAATAGCTGTAGTGAAGTACCCTGAGGGACCACCAGAGGGAAACACTGTAAGTAGATGTGATGCTGAGCAGGAGACCCACAAGAGTGACCCATAATGAAAGGCAGCGCCATTGATTTTAGGCTCTATTTTTCATTCAATTATTTGCATCTTCATTAACTCTTGTTAGTTAACTCATGGATCCTTGCCTTCTCTGAAGGAAAGTTCAGGACGCAGGAAAAGGCTGACATTTTGTGACTTAGTAAAGATAAAAGACTAAAGAGTAAAATAGAAGAAAAATTATGAATGCTGGAGGCAGCAAGGAAGGATGATTACGTACAATGAAGCTCAACTCATTTAAGGAAAAAATAAAGACTTAATTCAGTTTTCGCTGAAGAGTGCTTGTCCATAAGTGGAATGCTAGCGTTTTTATTTGTATTCCGTTCTTATTAGAATCACAAACGTTCATACATAAGATATGGGCAATATAAAAAAGATAATAAACTTAACGTACTCTTCCAGAAGTTTCCCACGACTGGCAGTTTAATGTCTGAAATACGCCATGAGGAACAGTAACTCATCTTTTTTAATTAATATAATTTTGCTTTGTATTTCTACCTTAACATTTCAAATTGAGCACACAAACACACACACACACACACACACACACACACACATATATATATATATATATATATATATTGGGCATTTAGGCAGCAATCCTTCATTTATACATGCTTCATTAAAAATGGCACACAAGCTTTTTAGTTAAGCTTTTTATTTAATTTTTCGTGTTCCAACACAAGAAAAATTAAATAAAACGCTTTATCTTGGCGCCTTGTCTGGCGTCTTTACTGAAACACACACACACACACACATATATATATGTTTCAGTAAAGACATATATATTCACAGTTCAATACGACGTAGCAAATATTATTATAGTTTTTTTTTATATGAGATTATAATAAAAACATTTTTAAATCACTACACAAAAAGAGTTCATGTTTCAATGCTATGATTGTACTTCCTCAGGCGATGGTTGGTAAGTTGTGATAAAAATGATTTCTTAGGGAAATTTTAAAATAAATCGTTTTCTCTTTACCGACGTTAACGTGGTCGCATAAAGTCAGAATTAATATATATTTATATTTATTTTTCTCTACCAACCTGAATATTCAAGAATCTTATTAAAGAAAAATATGCACTTTCCGACAGGATTCAAAAGTTTAAAATGATAAAATCTGTTGGATTAATATATATATAATCTACTTTATATATATATATATATATATATATATATATATATATATATATATATATGTATGTATATATATATGTGAAAAGTGTGTGTATATGGATATAGATGGATATGTGCATGTGTGGATATGTGGATATATTTATATATGTCTGTACATGGGTATATGTATGTGTGTATGTGGGTACACGCCTATGTGTATGTATATACGTGTATATGTTATTGTGTATCTGTGTATTCGCATGTGTTTTTGAACATAAAAATATAGGTCCTTCCTCGATTAAATAATCGTTATACTTATTTTTATATGTTTATATTTCATTTGTAACCTGCAGTCGATATTAAATTTGTCAAATTTTCTCAATTGCACAGCGGCCCTTTCAGTAAATGTCGTTCAATTTTACTTTCCTTCGCCCCATCTCTCTCCTCCACCTCGTCTTTCACTCCCTCTTATTCTGATCTTCAACATTAAATCGTCTATGGCGTGTGTATGTCACCACGAAATGTATCTTTATGCATTAGACATCCGACAACATTCATATTTCTCTTACTTAAACCCCTTCCACTCACCTCTCCTAAAATTCTCTCTGTTAAGGTTTACCCCTAATACTTACACTCTCTCTAAATTCTGTTTTTATTTCCGGAGTTGCTTTTTCTGTTTTTTTTTTTGAATATGTAGGTCTGATGAATTGGATCGTATTTACGATTCCAATAGAATAAATTATGACCATGGAATATTAGTGTTTAAGCCTTTTTTATTATATATATATATATATATATATATATATATATATATATATATATATATATATATATTAGAAAAGTCTGTATAAAAACTTCCTATATAGAGAAAGTAAGATTTGGAAAAACACATATTGTTATATATTAATAGGTAATATTTAAGATAAATAAATGTACAATGAGAATTGTTAAAATTATTTTAATCAAATGTAGTTTTAGAGATAAAGATCCTTTTATTTTAACCGGTTTCGCCTGCGTTCTGGGTATGGCGATGAACTACCTCCAGTAGCAAAGGCTCTGATCAGGAGTATTTGAGGATCGTGAAACCACCTTTTAATTGCTGATGTTTCCAGATTCGGGGTTGCAGCACCAGTTAGGGCCCTAGCTATGGGCAAATAGTTATCCCTAAAACAGGGCTCAAAACACTATGAAAGTATAAAATATGTTTTAATGTCAGCAATACATTTTTGGAAGAAATTATTACCAGTAATAGATTATTAATTGGAATATATTTTAAATAAAATACCAGCAATAACATTCTTGTTGGTATTAAATAACCCATTGTTTTATTAACGGTAATTTTAGCGGGGGAGATTTGTTAATTTGTTCATTTTTTTATTTATTTGGATTTATTTTTTTTTGTTTTTTATTTATTTTTATTTTATATATTTTTATTTACTCTATTTGGTTTTCGATTTTTGAGTAATGTAGTAATGTTTTGTTATCGTTATATAGCAGTTAAAGCTATTTTTACATCCAATTTTTGGATTGGTTATTGTAGTGGAGAAAAAAATCAAACATTCGCGGCCTGACAATTGCATCTAGCATGAAACAGCCTGTCGCCTCTCAGTGTTGACTTTAATGTTCACTTTCCCATTTATATTTACATCTTTGATATTGAGCACTTTGTTCCATAAATATAGCACGCCTTAAAACTCTCTCTCTCTCTCCCTGTATATATATATATATATATATATATATATATATATATATATATATATATATATATAAATACAGGTTGGTGTGTATAGGTGTATGTGTGTATTTGTGTATGTGTGCTTTAATCATGAATTAAACAACAGTAAATTTACGTCCAGGGTTTTACAACGTTTCACCATTCTTACCGTATTTTCTGTTGTTACGATGTCCGATATTAAAAAAAAACAAACAAAGATAATAGGAAGAAAAAGAATATAGATGAATTTTGCTAGATTTGGCAAAAAATTATTTTCAAAAATTCTGAAACTACCAGCGAATCTCGTTTGTATATATATATATATATATATATATATATATATATATATATATATATATATATATATAATTGAACGTTGAGGCGACAGACTGTTTCATGCTAGACGCAATCGTCAGGCCACGATATGTATATGGCCTGACGATTGTGTCTAGCATGACTGCCTGTCCGCCTCTGACTGTTGACTTCAATGTTCACTTTTATATTTACACACGCTCTATCTCTGATATTGAGCACTTTATCCCATAAATATAGCACACCCTAAAACTATATTTCTTTATAAAAAAAATGTGTCGATATATGTGTTATTATCTTATTATTATTTAATGAAATATATATATATATATATATATATATATATATATGAAATAAATAAATCCTAATGAGCCAGTTACTACCTAGGTTTCATCTCATGTTCTCATGTAGTAGGTAGTAGATAGCTTAATAGAATTTACTTATTTTACCTTTGTTTTACTTAGCGTATTGAGCACTCTTTGTTTTAACTTAATAGTCGCTATTTTTTTTCTTTTTACCAGAGATTTAAGGTGCAGGAGGATTTCTTTAGCCTTCTTCGGAAGTTTCTGGTTATTTCATTGATTTTTTTTTTAAGTTTTTTCTTCGGACGCCAATTTGTTTGAAAATTGTACTAGCCATATTTTTTTACCGACCTCGTTTAAATAGATTTACACTATATATATATATATATATATATATATATATATATATATATATAGTTCAATATTTCTTTGTTCATAATAGTATAATAATTATTTAGATATTATTAGTTTATTGTTTTATAAGTGCAGTCTCGATATTTAGTCTGATCGGTCCGATAATGTCAAATTGGCGGCTGATACCAAAAACGACCTTCAGTCGTTAAATGGGGCAAAGCATACCTTGTTAATTTTAGCCCCTACAAGACTAAACAGCTTTCTATAAAATATCTAATCTCCAGAAGAGTGACTCGATACGCCTTCTCGCACAAAGGTTCTCTTCTGACATGAATTGGAAAGACTATATTGAATCCATTGCTAGGTCAGCTGCTAAGAAATTTGGTTCAATATGCCTTGCTAGACAATTTTTCTCTCCAGAATTTAACTTTCATAGCTATAACTCTATTTTCCTCCATGGTTTGAATATCGTTGCTCATATGATTCAGTACTCCTGCTATATATTTATGGATCTTTGATAAGATCGAAAGAAAAATCTGCAATATTATTGGTTCTGATCTGTTGTCTCGGCTTCAGTGTCTTTCCTACCGACGTAAAGTTGCCTTTCTGTGTCTTTTCTAAAATTGATTATCAGTGTTGCACCAGAAGGTTTTCTCGCCTGAGTTCATCCTTCAAATCTATAAATCTACCATTAGTGTTTGCAATAAAAACTGGAGCCATATGTGGTCTGATGCCCCGCTGTTCATCCCGGGGTCCAGAGAAGGATATGCAATGTGATAAGTCCTGATCTGGCATCTCGTCTACAGACATTTTCTCATAGATCTGATATGGCTTCCCTCTGTCTTTTCTAAAAAATATTTTCATGGCAACTGCTCTGACGAGCTACTTTCAATGGTTCCCCATATGGATGAATTTAGGCCTGCTACTAGGTTGGCATCTCGGTCCTATCCTTTCACTGTCGAAACACTTAAATGCTACCGCCTCTTCTGCTCCAGCAGATTTTTCACTCGCATTTCTCGACAGTGGAATTCCCTTCTTTCTACTTCCTTTCCCGATATCTATAATCTTCAAAAAATTCAAATGTAATGTCAATCCTGATCCTCGTTCTTCTCTTTTTACTCTTGCTCTCACTCTTTGTAACCCCTTGGGTGATAGTGCCTTGCTTGGGGTGAAGTGCTTAAAAAAAAAATAAAGCTATTTCTAAAGAATTTATGGATTCAAATCTAGGGACAACCGTTATCTTGCCCTTCTCTGCCTAAACTGCCTCTTACTATGTAATTTTCTACCTAGAGTTCCTCTCCCCAGATTTTGGTCAGGGTAAACCTCACTGTAACACACACACACACACACACACACACACACACACACACACACACACACACATATATATATATATATATATATATATATATATATATACCACTAATACTATTACTCAAGCAGCTTCTTTTCTCGCACCAATCACCAGTGGAACTCTCTTCTTCCTGCTTGCTTTCCTGATAGCTCTAATCTTCAAATATTCAAATGTAATGTCAATCGGCATCTTCTGAGGCCTTGATCCTGATCCCTGTTTTTCTCTATATCTTTTCCTCAAACACCCCTTTTTTCACTTTCTGTTACTCTCTGTAACCCTTCGGTGATAGTGGCACACCGCCTTGCTTGGGGGAGAATGCTTAATGCATAATATATATATATATATATATATATATATATATATATATATATATATATATATATATATACAATTTCATGGTAATTATGCAGATGAGCTCTTCTTTATGTTAACTAGACTTTATGAATTTAAGCGCAGTACTACATTGGCGGTGAGGTCTCATCAATTTACTGTTGAGTTTCTTTTCTCGCTTGCGGAATTCTCTTCTGACTTCATGTCTTTTACTCAACTTTAATCTTCAAAAATTTAAATGCAATGTAAATTGCTACCTACTATCCTCCTGATGACTCTTTTTTTCTTGCTCCTTATAATTGTTTCTTTTTTTAAATACTTCCAAACCCAGTAACACTTGGGTCTTAGTTGCTTTACTCCCTTGCTTGGAGTGAAAATGAAAGCTGAAGAGATAATTTCTAATTTACCAAAGTATATGCAAATATTCCACCATTTCATAGAAGGGATATAATTATCTTTGAATATTGTAATTTTTTTCTCGATTTAAAATGTTATAACTGAGAGTTTATCAGTTTATTCTTGTTCACATGTTTGTTAAGAAGATACTCGTCCACTTTAAACAGTGTTAAAATAATTATAGCAAATAGTTGATAGGGAAAATCCTGTAGTGAGACCTCCTACAATCGCTATTACTGAAGTTAGGGATGGTTTCTTATATTTTTATGGAATTACATAAAGCAAAAACCGAAAGTGACGCCGTCAAATTGATACAACAACAGCAACTGAAAAGATTACGGAATAACAACGACTGCATATTTTTCTCCCAAAACAAGGATCAGCTTCTCAATAAATTTTATTTGGCTGAACCCAGTGCCCTCCGCTGCTCGAGGTTGAACGAATTTACATCATGCTTTCTTGACTTCAGAACTCCATGTTTTCTTTAAGCTACAGATAACAGGATTTTATTTTGGAATTTAAAAACAAAATATCGCACATCTTCAAGCAATTTCGCTGTGTTTTTATCCATTTTAACAATTAAATATAATAAACACTTCTAACCTACTTTTTTACGTCTTCAGTATCGTTAATTTTTTTTATGATCAGATCTCTTATACGAATAAAGAATTGAAACGCTTATCTTATCTTATTCATATAACTAACATTACGTTGTATATTCAAAATCTGTCGAGAAAATATTCCTACTGTAGTTATTTGTGAGGGTGAGAGAGAGAGAGAGAGAGATAGAGAGAGAGAGAGAGATGTTCATCAATATGTTTGTTGCAGAATTTATGCTAAGTAAGATGTGTCAGAATGGGAAATTGTGTGAAGGCCTAAAATGGGCGTGTACATTATGCATTTATCCACAACATATAAATTAAATGAACATATGAAGACAATTCAACTTGAAGAAATCAAGGAAAAACAACGTAGTTATAGATTTCAACAACAGATTTGGCGTTCACATTATTAAATTATTGAAGAACTGATGAAGAACTATAAGTAACTGATTTACACTTAGTTTAGACAAAATACGACTGCACTTAACTCACAAAAAAACATGATTCTTATCTGATATTTTTAATTAGAACAGTGGGGAAGATCCCTTATATCAGGGGTCGGCCACCTACTGCACGCGTGCCAAAAATGGCACGCCAAGAAATTTCCAAATGGCACGCAGCATCAAATGACATCACGAAGTCCGAACCAACAACTACTACAACGCAAAGAAGATATTTAACTGTTTTAATTTTAATATATACTAAAGTATATACTATATATTACTATATAAAATATATTGTAGAATAGGTATATTGAATTTGACTTGTTTAAAAATACGTATACTGTTGGCACACTGAACGATTTTAAAACACTAAGTCGGCACATAGTTAGCAAACGGCTGCTAATCACTCCCCTATATTATACATACATTAGATGTAATTATATCGACGTCGGCGGCTTTATGTCGAATCGTAGAATTTAATTTCTTCTTTGCTGATCGCTTCTTTATGTTGATGGTGTTGGTGACTAAATTCGCCATCAACCTGCAGGTTCAGAAATAGAAAGTTCCAGTTTCATGAAAACAATTCACCCGTCATCAATTCCTTACCTCATCAGAGTAGAAGAAAATGCTGATGAAGTGAATTTGTTTATGGTGGAAGCTCAACAAGGAGGAGGCTAATACTTAATATCATGAAAAGGCGGCTGAAGTTTCGGGACACATAATGACGAAGCATAGGCAAAATCTTCGTACCGATAATTTAAAATTACAATGGAATTTCAATGAGAAGGATCACCTCTTGAGAAGTAAGCAGAGCAACAGAAAATAGGATAGTTCAGGCAATTAAAGGAGATATCTAATTGCCAGTGAAACAAATAAAACAAAGTAAAGATTACTGAGCTGTTACATGATATCTATCCTTCTTTACGGCAGCGAATGTTGGTTGATTTCCTCAAAGTTGAAGAAGAGACTCGAGGCAACGGAGATATGGTTCTACAGAAGGATGCTAAGTATATCATGGACTGATCGTGTGAGCAACGATAAAGTCTTAGAGAGGTTGCAAACTTATACTTATACTTAACATCAGAAAGAGGCAGTTGGAGTTTCTGGGACACATAATGAGAAAGGAGGGCCTGGAGAATCTGATACTCACGGGTCGAATAGAGGGAAAGAAAGACAAGCGTAAACAATGCGTGACATATTTGGCAGTCTTAAGTGGATGACAGAACGTGGTGTGGAGGAGGAAGCAGAGGAGATGAACTTGTTGAGAGCTGCAAGGGATAGAGGGAGGTGGAGAGCCATGATCGCCTACGCCCTGAAAGGAGGAAGATCAACTTGCCCAGAGGGGACCCAGACGCTTGATTTCATGAACTTTCTCTGCGGCACATTTCGAATGAGACATGAAGAATCCAGTTATGAAAGGGCAAAGAAGTGACGCTGAGTCTGTTATAAAATCGCAGTTAAGACTGTATCAGTTCAAAAATTCGTCTGGATATACCTTAAACTTTCTACATGAAGAATCCCGGCATGCCAAACCCTGTCAAACGCTTTCGAGATGTCCAAACCAACAATCCATGCTTCACCATACTTATCTGTAGCTTGATAGATTCTTTCATAAATAATTGTTAGCAAATAAGCAACTGAACGACAGAAGCCGAAGCCATATTTCTTGTCTGAAAGAAAGCCCTGTGATATGCGATGCTTAACGAATTCACACTTGATTAGTGCCTCAACTAGTTTCCCCCAAAATTGGTAGTAAACTAAGAGTCCAATATTTAAAAGTGTAAGAGACTTTGAAGTTCTTTAGTAATGCAACATTATTGGTTATTCATTTTTCTTTTAATGGTTGTGCTAAAACAAAGCAAATACAGTTAATGAAATAGAGTATGATGTCATTATTCGCGTAATCGCCAATTGGGGTTTTGCTTAACTGCACTTGGCTCGTGCAAAACAAAACATGGCACGTGGAACTAGAACAGTTCTCCCCCAGCGAACGAAATAAAGTGTTCAGTTCGACATTCCAACCACCTGAAGAAAGCCAGAGCGTACAACGGCCGAAACGTTGTGATAAATATGGCAACAAGGATGAGGACAATCGTTCGAATAATGTAAATAATGTACGTAACACCTCATCTCCGAAATATAGATTGATAAAAAAGATTTTGTGTTAAAAGCTTTTCTTAAACAGAGAATACATTGGAAAACATATTTGAAAATAACAAAATATTTTAAAAAATATATAGAAAAATAATCAATTTAGGAAATATGATTCATTTGCATGATGGAAATTTTAAACTTATCGTTGATTAATGAATCATATTTGCCTAATCCATTTCCAATTTTAGTTTGCTGGGATATTTTATGACGGGTGTTTGTATCTCCTCTGTCAACAAGTGGGCTTATAATATTTTATTATTTTTAGACATATCTAGGATAAATGATTTATTATTACCTACGGAGTTTACCATTCTACGTACCGCGGTTAATGAGGCCCAATCGTCCTATTAAAATTTATAATAATAAAAAATAATGTAATGCATTGTATGTATTATTTTTATGAATATTTTTACGTGATAAATGGCCATTATAAAAGTGTCAATGTGCCCTGAAATTAAAGGTTTCTTAAGAATTGAAATGTGTTTGGTTTTGAGCTGAATTTATCACTTTTACAAAATTTCTTCTTATTCCCAAATAATTTTTACACATAAATTCGGATTTGAATCTTTTTTTCATTCAATTTTAGAAAAATAATCCAGGATTTGAGATTTAGTCTTTAAAAAGAAAATTTTAAAATAAAAATTAAATTTTATCAAATAAAATATTAAAAATAGACGGATAAATGTCTAAATTTCCCATCATGCAATTGTAATTTCGATCAAATCCCTTGGTGTCCACACACCTTAAAGAAGGGCAGATAATCTGCTTTTGTGATTCAATATGTTTGCATATAATGTCAGAAGAACGCTTGATGAGGTAATCTTCACTGAGTTAAAATTGAAGCAGCCTTTTTTTTTATCGTATCAGCTTTTTCTATTTTTTCTATCTATCAGCAAATTGACAGATTCAAATGGTAGATTATCTAATCATTGTTTTATTTTTAATTCTTTATCTTCTTTGTGTCCTTGTTCATTTCTCTTATTTTTATCTTGCTTATTTATTAAATATAATTTCCCCTTTTTTCTTATCTTTAATCCCATCTTTCCTTTCTATTCCCCTTTCTATTCTTTTCAATATTCTCCATTACATTGGTTTTGTTTTTTTTATCTGGTACGTTTCTCTTCGTTTCTCATTCTTTCTTTGATTTCTTCTTCTTTTTCATTTTCATGCGTCTTAATTTTCAAATTTTGTTCTTTTGATTCAAATCTTTTTTCTCTTTCTTTTTTAACATCTTTCTTGTATTCTTTCTTTCTTTTCCTTGGTTTATTCTTTGTTTTTGTTCGTGTTTTTCCCCCCTTTTTAATTCAATTCTTTTACAGTATTTCCTTCTTTTTGCCATTTTGTTTCTTTCTTCCCTTCTTTCTTTCCGTAATGTCGTTTCCACATTTCTTTTTCTATATTGTACTTTAGGAGATTCTTTCTTTTTAGTCTTTGTTTCTTTCTTTCTCTATGTGACTTCTTTCTTTGTTCTTGGCTTATTCTTCCTTCTCTTTTCTCTTTCTCCGCTATTAATCTTTCTTTCTTTCTTTCTTTCTTTCTTTTTTCTTTCTCACCTTTTTTCTTTTTTACATTCTCTCTCTGTCTTTTTGTATATTCACAGTTATTTCAGTAAAGTCTCCTTTTTCTTCCTTCTTCTTCTTCCTTGCTCGATTTTTAAATTATTTATTCCACTCATTCTTTTATTTTATTTTAAACTTATTCTCTCATTATTTTTCTTTTTATTCATTTTCGCATTTTATTTTCTTTCCTTCATTTTTTGTTTTTTTGTTTTTGTTTTGTCAGTTTCCTTTTCCTTAAGAGATTCAAATAGTTTAATAATTCAGCGAATCTCTTTTTCAATTTCTGTAATCATTTATCTTTTGAATTTGTTAAACTTCATTTTCCTTTCCGATAAAAACATTATTTCTTCTTTGTTTTGAAAATATTTACTTCCATTTCAATCAAAATCAATCAACTGATAAAAATAAACCTGAATATTGTGTGACAACATCCTTTCAAGGAATTCTTACGATTCTTTTTCCGTATGCAGTGTCCTGTCATGGCGCGGGCGACAATGGCTCTACACAACTTCCTGTCCTCTGTGAAGCATATTAGTTTGGGTCATAATTATCAGGCGTTTTTTGTAGGCGAGTTATTTGTTAATAAAAATACTGTTTTGTTTCTTATGAAAATATCATTTTATTTTCAAGATATAAAAATGCGTGTCGATAATCATACACTCCGGAATATCATTTAAAAATATTTTTGTTGAATTGTTATATTTCGTTTTTCATACACTATTTACATTATTTGGACTATTGTCCTCATCTTTTTTGCCATATTTATTACAACGTTTCGGCCGTTGTACGCTCCGGCCTTCTTCATGTGGTTGGAATGTCGAACTGAACCCTTTATTTCGCTCGCTGGGGTAAACTGTTCTAGTTCCACATGTCATGTTTGATGGATGTCAGTTATCAGATATCTCCTGTTAATTTCTCTCCCCAAGTTCTCCACTGCCTTAACCGGGTATTGAACACTCACTTTGGGTCGTGTCACAGGATCTAACTAACGCCTTTATCCACTGTGCCATGTGTCCTTGAGGAAGAAGGCCGGAGCGTACAACGGCCGAAACG